GCCGAGCCGAGAATTAGTGTGTTTTAAAGAGTTAGAATTAGTGTGTTTTTACTTATATATTGTGCCCAAAGTTGCCATACATTGGGAAAATGGGAGAGTGTAGCTAAATGTACCTTTAAAAGTATTCTGCATGCATTGTCATCTTCTACACATGTGAAGTCTTCTCTCCTGCTCCTGGAGAAACTGCTCCAAGGCATCTTTTGGTATGCAGTTTTCCCTGTAGTTAAAAATTTTCTGATGTCCTCTTCCCCACCATTGTCCCAGAACATGAGTTTTACTGAGGGAGTTAGTGAAACTGAATTTGTATCAACTCAACTCAAAATTTATTTGAGAAGTTTGCTGCTTGTTATGCTAATTTTGGTACATACTGACTTCAGATGCACCAGTATTTTTTTTTTTCTTTTTAATTAACAGACTATGTGGGGGGTGTAGTTTTAGCTTTATGGAAAAACTGAGCAAAAAGTACAGAACTCCCAGATATTCCTCCATTTCCAGTTCCCTTATTTTTAACACTCTGTGTTAATGTGGCACATTGGTTATACTTGATGAGCCAATATTGACAATTATTATCAACAAACCCTGTGGTCTGCATCAGAGCTCACTCTTGGTGAAGCACATGTCCATGGGTCTTGACAATGTGCAGGAACAGAGACCCGAACCCATCACACTGGGTGGTTTCACACTCTTTGACATCCCCCGACTTGCTGCCCTGAGCATCAGCCCTCTGCACAGTCCAGACATCAGGGAGTTCCTGTTGGGTGGGAAGGGAAGGACTAGCCCCAGGAATGGCCAGGAACTGTTCTTGACACTTGCTGTGTGTTGACTTCCTGGTCTCCCTGCAGCTTTGTTGGGTGGGCACAGGTTGAGAGGCCATGCTTGCTGAGGTGAGAGGAGCTTCCTTCAGAGGGAAAAAGGTTAATCAAGAATTAACTTTATTAGAAAAAAATCAGAGTTAGACATAGGATCATCTACATTTACCAAAGATTGTGTTTTTACAAAAGTATGAGCAGGTATTATTTTTTATAATGAAAAAATTCTCATGTTAAGAAAAGAAAATCACAACAATGGCAAAGGTTTAGAAGAAAAATTTGAGTTTGACACTTAGAAAAGTTATCTACCCTACAAAGAACAGAATTTT